TAAAAAAAAAAAAAAAAAAAAAACCAATTAAAGTTTAAGCACCGAACTTGATAGGAACCCCATAAAAATAACACGAGCAACAAATAAATTAAGTTAGTATTTTAGTCAACAAATGACATAGGATTTTCGTGAGGCAAATTTCTAATTAAAAAGAAACCTATCGATGACAAATTTAATTTAAAGAGATAAAAGGGTATTAGTCCCGAGTTTCTGATTCACAAAATACAAACACGACATGAATCTAAAATGACACGATCCAAATGCGACAAACCCCAAAATAACTATTCAAAAATGACAAGATACACTTTGATCTCCACCTCTAAATTTGGTAGTGACAAAAAATCTCAGCATATCAACCAAAAGCGTGGCTAGAGAATAGGATTTTTGGGCTTCTGATCTCAACTATAGATGATCCAAGTGCACTCAAAAAAGTCTTGGAGTCAACCACAAAGGTCAGTAGGTCAACCACTAGTAGGATGATGGAGGATTAGTTGGCCAAAACTGCCGTGCATGAAGGGCTAGACACTTCAATAGGATTAATACAGAACCCATAGTACATATTATGCTTTTGCTTACACCTCCACTTCACAAAATATCAAAGGGAAGAAAGACCAAGAAGACTTACTTGACTCGATTTCTTGTAGTCCAAGCAAGCTTTCAGTAGTTATGGAATAGGTACACCAAGACTCACTTGACTCCTTCCTGCTTCTTCCCCATGACATAAGAGATCATAAATAATTCCGAGTAACAATGATCAAGTATACGCAGCTTTTCAGATTCATCTACCCAATAAGACTTCAAAAACCTATGATGAATATTCAAAAGCTCATAACAATCCAGCATTATTCCATGAACATTTTTGGCGTGTTCTGAACATACTAATGCTTTTCTAGCAAAAGCACAATAAGCCAATTAGATGTTCTATTGCAACCACCAGGCAAAGCAATGCTGGCATTCCATCATGTTCAACACTATTTTTATCCCAATATGATGGGTCAGCGGGTTATCCGGGTGGCCCCTGCAAATGAATAATAGGATGAGATAGGAGCATGCACATCCGCCAACCCACGCCTTCCAGGTGCTTGAGCATGTTGATGTACAAGTGATGTATCATATGCAGCGGTGAGCAATGTGTAGGAGCCAGATGCTGGAGCATGTGGTTGCGCAAGTGACCGATCATAAGGGACTGCAGACATTGAGTAAGAGTTGTAATATCCGACAACATTATCAGGGTGGGAAGCAATCTCTCTCTCCCTCTGCAAGGGCAACCGATAATACTCATTCTCCAAGCCAATCAGTCGATCACGAGGAACTATCTCGTCTACAGTTCTATACCTGTCAAAGCAACAACCCAAAAGGAATATAACTGGTTTCAATTTCACAATAAATAGACAAGAAATATGCGTCTCAAATAGGAGATAAGATCTGGAAAAAGTGATAAATCATCATAATTTATTCCCAGAGTAGGGAATATATGGGGGGTATGGTGGAAATCATTTTCTTTGACAGGCACTCTTGAATTGTACAGATATGATGAATATCACTCATGGTATTCTGCTTGAAAACCCCAATAAACTTCAAGGTAATCTTCCAAGTGCAAGAAGCAAGAATGAGAGAAATTTTAATATCCTTTTAAAAGGAGCTGAAAAGATAGGAAAAGAAGGCCATTCAAAGCAAACACTCCTCTACCAACTGAAAAAGAAGTACATTGAGTACATATATGCTTCATATAAAACCAAATACTGCATGTCATGTTGGATATACATGACATCTACATATTGTGCCATCCAAATACCACCACAGGGTGTCAGATTAAAGGTTAACCAGAAGCCAAAACCATGCCTTTGAAAATTGACATGAATCATAGACTAAGAACACGCAACAGTTTTACTTAAAATGTCCATCAATATTTTGGGTAGCTTGCATTCACTTTAATTGACTGACTTATTACCAGAAATCAAGAGAGAAAGTACCAAAAGATAGTTAAGCATCTGACTTTGAGATACCTAACATGAGCATTGGCGTGCTATAAAAGCCCATCACAAAGCTCCCCAGACCAAAATTGATAAAGACCGTCATGTTGCACTGATTAAAGATTAGCCAAGAAATTCAGTGTCTCAGAGTGTCATTCACAATTCCCATTAATGTGCTGGGTGACTATATTCACAAAAATTAAGGGGCAAAATACCTAGGATATGCTTCGTGCAGAGTCAGGGCTGGGTCTTCAACAAAGTATGATCTGCGAGTGTCCGGATTATAATAATGATCGCTGGGAGGTGGCAAACCCTGGTGGTCCAGAGATGAATGGACAGGATCCAATGTTGTGGTTCCATACCATCCATGCCGTGAGGGAAGTTGAGGCTCCATTATTTGTGGAGCATGAGCATGAACATGACCATGTCGTGTGGCACCTAGATATGGATCCTGTGATGGAGGCAGCCTTAATAAGGGCTTGAACTGATGCTCCATTGCTGGAGGAGATATTGCCCATTGTGGGGCAACATTTGGCTTTAGAGGAGGCAAAGGCGCTGATGATGATGCACCAAAAGGGCGAAACAATGATAACAGATTTCTCACCTACAATGTAATGGGCCAAGTTAACAAATGGAAGGGTCTATTTGATGTAACATGAAACAACCAGACCCATAAAGACATATTTCAGAATATGAAACCAAAATGAAACTGTCTTACTTGCCGGCCACTGAGTTCTGGTCTGAACTTGCCACCCTGATAGTTATCCAGTATAGCATGTTTGAAGGAAGCCTCAGGCAGGGGAAGACAATCCTTAAAAATCTTGAACTTTACCTGAACAAAAACTTCCAAACATGCTGATAGTATATTTCTTATATCACCCCAGCCAAATATGATGAATTGGTACATGATGGATTAAAAAAACTTGGCAACTATGGTGCCACAAAAACCAACAAACCATCAAGTGCCCAACCTTAACAGTGAGTATTACAAAATGAAATGCCAGTAGACACCAACCTAGAGAACTACCCCATTCATTCACTATTATGCCAACAATAATTTGGTCGAATGGTTCCTCGCCCTTCCTGGTACACGAGGTTTAGGAATCAAATCCAACTGACTTACACACACCAATTTGCCGGTGATACGATCCGCATCATTTGACTATGGATGCATATATACTAGAGCTTGTGAAAAGAATAGTTCTTCATATTCTCAGATATTTAAAAGGGTCTGACATGCTGTCAGTCCTCTAACTGTCTGACAAGTTTTCTTGAATTTTGGACTGGCTATGTAAAGGACAAAACTCTACCCACTACACAAATGAAGTTTATGAGAACAGCAAGGGAATCATATAAACCACAAAGTAGACAGTTTGAATGGGAGTTTGTCCATTTAGGTGTAACATACCATGCCAAGCTCTAGGAGGACTCAGAATGCTGGCGGAGACTGATCTCAAATCAGTAACTCAGCATGGAGCTTTCATCCAATTAGGGAAGTTTTGATCTTCTTTTTCTGTTTTTCTATGTTATTTATTTACATACATAAACCTTGGATGTTAAACAAGAACCCCATAAAGGTTCTGGGGAAAATAATAACAGCATGGATTTTCCAAGAAAAAAAACAGCACAGGACATACCTGTGCAGGAAATTTCCCCCTAAAAGCAGCAGGCTCCAAGTCCAATTTTCCCATGGAGGATGCTTCGTATACACCATATAGAAGTTTCAGGTCAAAATCAAACAGAAAAAGCTTAGTGCCTTGCTTGATCTTCTCTACTACTTCCTTTTGTCCGGCAGGAAGCCCAAAAACACGGTATTGGTAACACTCTGGTTTTGTCTTTCCGTTACACATAAATATAAAACCAGAGTGTCTCCCCAACTTGTCCTTGTGATTGCCCTTTCCCTTCTCTTTAACCTGTGAAGCAGCTCTACTGCCATTAGAAGCAGGAGCAGAAGCACAGGTCTGTGCAGGGTCAGCCAGAGGGACAGGAATGGGAACGATAGCATCAGTGGACTTAATCTTTGGGAATTTTTTCTTCTTCTTCATCTTTTTGCTGGCATCTGGTCGGGTTACAATCTGCCCTTTGTTTTTGAACTTCCTGCCTTTTCCCTTGGCCATGAGTAAAACTGTTGTAACGGAAGGAAAGAAATCACTGCACTCCTTAGATGAACATATAAGCAGAACGGTTTCGCAAATTCACGAGAAGCGAGGGGGAAGAGAGTAAAACTCAAAGCTGGAAAGCATTACAAAATGGTTTAAGGCAGAATACAAGACCAGTCAACTGCAGTTACAGATTGAAAAGTCAAAATATACAGTTATTGCACCATAATAAACATAATCAAACAACAAGGTGCCTCACTGGGTGACCATCTATGAAGGGAAAAGGAATTAACATGCGAAGAATGTCTTGTGGCAAACTCTGGAGTCTGCCTTAACAAATGACAGCACAATCCATTTTCTGCCCCATAGATATAAGCGATGTTACTTAATATGCAAGGTGCCAAAGTCTCTTAGGGCCAAAGCACAAAGCACAAGGCACGAGGAAGGTGCAACGTGCACCAAGGCACCAAGGTGTCCCGGGGCCTAAACGCAAGGTAATATACAAGGTGCCAAAGTCTCTTAGGGCCTAAGCACGAAGCACAAGGCATGAGGAAGGTGCAATGTGCACTAAGGCACCAAGGTGTCCTGAGACCTAAGCACAAGGTTTCCCAAGACACATGTTGCATACGACATGTAAAAAAAAATTCCATCTGTTAGTACATTCAACCTAAAACCAAATAGTACCAAGTGAAAAAAACTTTCAATCATATAAACCCACTTTAGTGGTCCTAATCTTTCAGTGTGAGATACAAACTCTCTTCACACCCTCCCATACACAAGACCCGGGCTCATACATGAGCCAACAAATCAAACCACAATATTCAAATGGATGAGAGACTTCACCACTAACCACCCAATACCTAATTTAGATAAGACATCCGAACGTCCAATCCAAAATCAATTAGCGATGAGTGAAGAAATGAATAAATCATATAAACAAATCTTGGGTAGACCAAGGTTCAAAATTTCATTTCGGTACATAATTACAGCTGGCTTGAAACAAAAATTTTCAAAACCAAGATGTAAACATAAGTGCGCCAAAATATACCAAAACACCTTGAAACACATAAATTCAACATTCATGATTCGTTCCGATTTTCATGGAAACTGAAATTTTTGATTATTTTGATAGAAACCAAAAGAAATTTTCATCATTGGATAGCTCTACTCTTTCAATTTGAGACATGAACTCCCTCCGCTTCATTAATGAAATATTTAATGAAAAATTATTTGACAATTAAACAATCTCAAATTATTGACCTTGATGACCAAAATTTTAACGCAGAGATAGTATGATGCAGTACATAAAAATCTTAAAATTGCTGGCTCACAAAATCTTAATGAATCCGAACCATTTAAGATCGTAGGATCCCAAAAGTTGTTGGGTACATCTAGTAGACGCTTTAGTTACTGAGCAAGCACGGTCCATATTTTTTGCTTTAATAATGAAAGATTCAAACCATATGTGATTGTCTCACACAATTGTAAATCTATCAGATGATTTTGGCGGGTGAGAAAAGCTACAAAAAACTCTCTTAGCTACAAAAAACGTACACCCAGAATTGTTTATTCAACAGTGTCTCCATTTTTCAAGTCTCTCATTTGTCTCTACATCTCTATCAGAGTTGAGAGCAATCCACTTCAATTCTCCTACTCTTTTCGTATGATCCCATATTAATAACTCAACTCTTATTTTCTACCCTCTCAATACCCAAATTATAGTTTCTCAAATTTTATTCATATGTTTTAGTTCTATAATGTTAAATATACTTTCAGGCCCAATTTTCAGTGTGTAGGATCTTACGATTCTAGATCTAATCCTACATAGCCTCCCTAATCACTCGAAGGTAGGATCTCAATTCCAAGAACCTTGTTATTGAATCAAGTAAGCAATTTAAAACTAAGCAAGTATTCCAATGCCCTCCTTGAATAATTAAGCAATCTAAAGTTATGCAGCTAAGCAAAATAAGTAATTGAACCCTAAAGCACAAAGATGGGATTGAGATGAGACAATGGACCTTCTTTTTTTTTTTTTGATTTTGATAGGAAACAGATAGTGGACACTTTTATGGCCCACTACCACTGTTTGAGCCCAAATAGAACAAAAAATTGCCCAAAGCTCAAATAGTGTATGGAAAGAAAAAAGAAAGAAGCAGAAAGAGAAGAAAACATCAAGGATAGACACGACTCCCATAGAGTTACCCAAGTTTTCTTCTCCTTTCGTTCTCTCCTCTCTTTTTTTTTTATCTTGACTTGGTTGGCTAGATGAGGGTTTTTCTCGTTGCCAAGTGCACCCAATTCTAAAATCCTTAACTAAACCACTTCTCATTCAATTGCTGGAAGACAAGCCATAATATTTTCTAAATGAGATTGAGTTCCACAAATATGTAGGCAAGAAAGATGATATGTTGCATTTCTATCTACTTGTGCATCAAGCTCAAAGAAACTCTCAATCTATAATGATGAAATAGTAACAACTCGTTTTATTGGCCAAGACAGAATGACAAAAGAAATGCGGTATGTAGTTCCCACGTAACAAGGTCAAACAAAAAAAAAAGAAGAAAGTCAAGGAGAAAGCACAAAAGATAACGGAAACATACAAAACATGATGTTGACCAAAAGGGCAATGAAGTAGATGAGGTCGACAAAGATGAAGGAGATGACGTCGAAATTGATGAAGATGAAGAGGACAAAGAAAAAGAAAAATAGAGAGATAGAATGTCCATGTGCCGTGCACCTTGGACTCAGGCCAAAGGCACTTGCCTCTTGCACCTCGCTAGGGCTGAGGAAGGCAATGTGCACGTTGCCTCACTTTGCACCTAGGTGTGATTTCAACAACACTGGATACAAGTATTCCTTTAACAAGTGATATTCAGTCACTGGACACCATTTTTCCCAACTTTCCGAAGTCAACAATACAAGTCATGTTCTTCCTAGGTAGAAGGGAGATCTTCTGTCAAAACAAGAGAGCTCAAGATATCATGTAATGAATTCCATAAATGTCTTTCTCTGCCTTGTTCTCGTGCCTTGGCCATATTCAACTCATATCTTTTCATAGGCAATATCATTTGACATACTTGCCACTAAACCATCTTATTGGCCTCGTCTAACCTCATCAAGAAGTGGTGTCATACCAAATTTCCTAAAATGTTCCATTCTTATCAACTAGTCTCACTTACACACCTCAACATGAGGCATCTTCAATTCACACAATTTTCAATAGTTTGTTATCTAACACAACAATCTTCTCTTTTCTATAAACCAAGGTCAATCTGCTGCTTCTTTAATTTTTCCAATTCTTTTTAGACCTTCAACTTGCAATGGTTCACTGAGACCATAGGTGTGGAGTATTCAATACTACCAATGAGTTCCACATGCAAATACTACATAATTCCCCAATGTCTATATTCTTATTAACATTCAAACCTGTATAATGTATGGACATGTATGATTTCAATCCAAAAGAAACAAATTTGTAGTTTATATTTTTGGTCAACAAAGAACATAACATAGTCGTGAGAAAAATCATCAAGATATAAAGACACATATTTGAAAAATAAAAAACTTCTTTTTGTCTCATCTTTTAACCCAAAGGCAAAGCAACAAAAAATGTGGAACAAATCCACGAGACCTTTTGGAGCTCATCAAATCATGTCAGTCTTCATTAGTGGCAAACTAACTTTTAGTCACAGCAGGACCACATAAATCAGTGTACCATTCATTCAATAAAATTAAATATTACATCTCATAAATTTGAAAACATAACACAATATACTCAAACAAGTAACAGGACATTATGTGTCAGTTTTAACCAAAAGTCATATAGCTGAGCACTAGGATCCCCTGTGAGAAATTTATCTGCTCATCAATGAGAAAATATCTCTTGCTTTTTCCCATTAGCAAAAGTATTTGATATTCCTTGTTCATATAGATTCCTTATATCACCAACTAAAAATAAATATATCTTTGAAGTAATTCTCAACTTCTTTCCACAGCTCATGATGCAATCCATAAGATGTTCATGCAATCACAAATTTGAAAATGTGAAAAACAAGAAAATTAACTTTCCATCAAGACAAAGATCCATAGAGAATCTTGCATTATTGTATTTTTAGTCTTATTTTAATTTAATTTGAGTCAATTTGCTAGTATTAGTATTTTATATGTCCTTTTAATAGTTTTTAGACCCAAGAGAATTTTTATAATTTCTAGAATTTCCTGGAATGGGTCATGGTCCGACCCGTGGGCCGTCATCTAGGTCAAATTCTATTGTTGAATGTTATAGAATTTAGATTCTAGTTCAAGTTTCTTTTAGTTTTCTAATTTTTAGTGATCTAAAATTTTTTGAGTCCTATAGACTTTGCAATCCTAATATTATAGTTTTAGAATTATAAGTACTTAGAACTCTATATATAATCTGTGATATTTTTAATGAAGAATAGAGAAAGAAATATTTCAGCAATTATATGTTTTTTGAGTTGTATGATTCAATTCTAACTCTTAGGTGTAATGTCTAAGGAACCCTAGGAGTGATTCCTAGTCAAAGTTACTATGCACATATTGTTTATAGCATATTTATTGTTCACAGCCCCTAAACAGCCCTGATTTTTTATTTTACACAGTTGTCCTACATCACCTCACCTTGGATGTTCATACGGATCTAAGATGCAATAAAGACCTACACCATTTAGGAATGCACAACTAAGGTGGTTATGTTTCCAAGAAGTGGAAATGTTTTTCTTTTCTTGAAATTTAGTAAATGGGAGAAATATGGACAGGATTCGAAACATCAGTCGAGTCCGATACGACTCAGCCCCCATCAACTCGATAATGATACCAAAATAACATGAGTTTAACATGAAGCGGTTTTGACTCGGTCTAACTCGAATTCATCTCGTTCGAATTAGCCGATTTACAACCGAGTTGAACTGATACACACATAATTGCTCCCCACCTCTCATACAACAAAGAAAATGCCAAAAAAAAAAATAAGTCAAAAGAAGTGTAGTTGAAAAACCACAATTTGCAAAAAAAAAAAAAAATCTAATGCCTAACAAAAATGGAACCTTGAAGAACATATATGGCCTCCTCTATAACAGAACAATGAATTCAAAAATCTAGTAACACAAACCAGTAAAATTGGGGGACTACGACGATCGAGCCTCCCAAATTTTGTCTCTACTTTTTGACTCTGTATTGTCTCTCTTCGTCTTCAATCGCAGGTCTCTCTCTCTATCTGAGAAACCGAAGCTCAAATGAGTGAAAGACAAAGGGCCACATTTCTCTATCCTTAAATATCTATTTTTGTGTCAAAAAAAAAGAAATTTATTTTGAAGTCTCAATTTTAGCTTTTTTCCCTTCTAGTATTTGTTTTCATAATGTTAATTTCTTTTTTATTCTGTCATAAATTTTTGTTTGATTTTGTGTTATTAAATTATCTATTAAATACTTTGTTTTATTCTCAAGTAAAATTCTATTTTATTCAATGTTATTAATTAAATTTTATTTACATGTAAACAATTGTTCTGTTCAAATTGAAGATAAATTTTTTCAATAACATCCTTATAATTCCTTTTCACTACGTGTAATGTGTTAACTAATATATTTTAGGGAAATGATGCATGAATGATGATATTTACATGTTTTAGATTTTTTCATTATTTTTTCTAAATTTTTTGGACCTTCTATCTAGCGTTTTAAGCGTATCGGCCAATACTGCGCCGTGATGCCGCAACCAATTTGTCTCAATACCCTCCAAGTCAATGACCGATACCTCGACCTTGAATCATGAATATGGATGTAAATTGATGGGGCTCAACTCTGTCTCTTTACCAAAAGTCGACCTATCTTTTACTGAGGAGATATTCACTAACAAGCGGTAATATTCAAGAAATGGTGTTAGGAAATTATACAAGTACTAATGCACACATGAATGAGAGAAAAAAAGAGATGGTCGCCAATAAAGGAAAAGAGTTTGCTAGAAATAACAATTGGGATGCAGCTACAAAACGATCAACTCAAGTGTGAAACCAAGCCTACCGAAAAGGGTAGGTTTGGTTAAGTGCTTCAGCAAATAACAAGGTCGATTTTGACTTTGGTGGGTCAACTCATTCTAATCCTGCGAACTAATCCCCTTTTTCTGGATTATAACTAATCAGTACAAGTACATCTACATCTTGTCACAATGAGATTGGACGACTTGGAATTAGGTTGCATGTGTATAATAATGTAAAAGATATTGAAGGCCTCACTATTCTCTATTGTTCAATTCTGAAAGCAAGGTTTGATGGATCTCGTGGTGACACTTCCCCATTCCTCATTCCTCTCTTGACCAAATAAGTTCCAACATCTCCTTCAAACTGTTGGATGCTTTAATCCTCAAAGTTCTTCTATGTCTTCACTGAAGTTTCATACACCAAAGGAGTCTGAGTGAATTATTCACTTTTTGTTCAAGGTTTGATTGTGTTTGCCTCCCTTTTCCTCATTCTCTCTCAACCAAACAAGTCTCCATTGTCCATTGTCCATTGATAAGGTGTCAATTTCTTCCTCATAAAACATTTTCACAATCCACATCATATTCTCTACATCTACACCTTTATTGAGGTTTCGTCAACTAAAGAAATTTTTGCTTTTCTCAGTCAACCCTACTATCTCCCATAAAATGTTCAATTGTAGTTGTAACATTTTTAAGTGTGCAGTATTTAAAACCTTTCATATGAAAAGGAGTTCTTCATGCCACTTTGTCCATCCAACAACAAAAAATTACTTTCATCTCTATTTTTATTTTCCAATGCACTTAACTGGTGTAATTTGGCTCACCTTCAAGGACCAATTCAAAGATTAAATCTACACATTCAACTATTCAAACACTGCATCAACAGAAACGTGACAAAGGGCAGATTGAAGAGGATAGATGAAATATAAGTATCATACAAAAAAAATAGTTTAGAAAGTGATTTTTATGTTCTTTCTTTAAAAACATATTACGCTAAAGATTAAAAAAACCCAATTGTGATGCCTAAAGATCACTCCACATAGTTGGTCTTTAAAAATGAAATTAAGTAGGAATGACATTTTCTCTCGAACAAATTGTCATTGCTTTTATCTTCACATAATAGCTTTTGGAGATTCATTAACTAAAGCAAGTTTCCTTCTTCTCCCTATGGAATTTTGCTAGACAATGGGGTCTGAACTTGGTGTCCACTGGTTGTAAATTTCCCAATCGTCAAAGAGGCCTAATGTGATTTAGGAACTCAAAACTTCATTATTCATATACATATGATGGAGAAATTCTATCATTATACAAAACCACAGTCTCATACTAATATA